CCAGGGTGACAGCAAGGGCACGAGGACACGAGCCAGACGCCTACACACAGTTGTGGTTTTCACTGGGGCCACGTTCACCAAAATCCCATCGGCTAATGGACAAGGAGGGAAAGGGCGCCCACCTCCAGGCCCCCACTCAAGGATGTGGGTAATAAGGCCGCCACAGTCGTCGCCGGTGAGAGGTGGAGTGCTTGGCACCAAACCGTTCACAGCAGAAACATCCATTAGGAGAATCGGTTCTTTTAAGGGGCCCACTGCCCCTCGGGACTTCAAATGCCAGCGCAAACCGGGGCGCAGGGAGGAGCCGTTGGTGGGATCCCCAGCCGCCCGGGGCTGTTCAGGTGGAAAACGCAGAGGTCATGAGATGTCCAGCCCTGAGGCCTCAGCTTCTGCCCACGGGGCCGTACAGGGACCAAGATTCCCCACTGGCCAAGCGTCTAGGCGCCGAGCAGGGCCTGGAGCGCTGCAAACCCCGGCCACGGGGCGCCCTGCACTGTCCCCTGCCCGCCAGCCCGCCGCCACCGCCGCCGGCATCACGTAAACGCACCCACGCTAAACACGGAAAGATTGCTTTCCGGGAAAACTGCTGATAGTCGGGACTCCTGCAAAGAGAGAGCTTGAAGGAGACTGGCCTCCCGGATCCATACGACACATGACAGCTCAGACGTTAATCAATTCTCCACCCTTGAAACGAAAATAGTCTTGATTTATGAAATCCCACAAGTCAGGTCTTTTCCACGCCGCCAGAATTGTGAGCAGGGGCGTCCTCTAGGCGGCTCCGCCTGGTGCCAGACGGCCTTCGGTCGGGCCGGGACCCTCCTGGGCACGTGCCTTGCCCCAGCCCGCTGGGCGCCGACCTCCAGACGGGGACACGGAGCCCCGGCCGCACCCACAACCCGCAGGTGTAAGGGGGACGCTGCTCCGGGCGCCTCTTCACTGTGGTCTCAGACCCTGTGTGTGCACGTGGGGGTCGGCAGTGGCCCCCAGAGAGACCCCAACCCCAGGGGTCACTACCCAGAAGGTGAGAGGTCACCAGCTGGGGGAAAATCATTCTCTCCAACCCCATGGACTGGGGACAAACGAGTTTGTTCTGGGCGGTTGATGAAGATCTGTAGAAAACGTTCGCCTCCGCCCATTTTAAACCGTGTAATTATATTCCATCTGCAGTTTCTGGTCACTAGCGCCAGACCCTCAGCTAATTATTTAAATAAGCAATTTGAACCAAAGTTTAGAAGCTTCACGTCACCATTTACCCAACTCTACCCGACAGATAAAATAATAGGACCTCAGAGGAATTGCTTTATTGCGTTGGGGTGGTGAGTCCTTTCCAAGCACCACAAAAGGAAAGATTGGTATATTTGACCACATAAAAATTTTAAACAGCCGATGGTTAAAGACACCAAGAACGAAAATGAAAAGCAAATGGCAAACCAAGAGAAAGTGTTTCAATATGTATTACAAATGGTTAATAGCGATCTCCCAAAGTGATACACTTTTAAAGAACGAGTGAGCCCAATGGAAAAATGGGCAAAAGACCTGCACAGGCATTTTGCAAATTGCCCAGCAGCCGTTGAGCTTGTGACCAACGCTTCGCCTCACTGGAGTCAAAGACAGGCCAGGAGAGCACCAGTGGCACTTAGTTCATCTTCTGTCAAACTGGCAAATAATGCTTTAAGTCATAAAACCAGTTCTGGCTGTAGAATAGAGAAAAGGCCCCTTAGGGTCTTTTCTAAGTTGGCAAGTTTTTGTTTTTTGTTTTTTTTTTTGAGGATGGGAAGGCCGGGCAAAGGGGTACATTTGGACACAATGAACCAGAATCCCAATATAATTCATAGAAATACGTCCTAAAAAATACTTTCCTGCGTGAGGATTTGCATGCAAGGATGGTCACCATGTATGACCGCTGAAGCTGGAACCAGCCCGTGTGCACCTGGGAGAATGAAGCCACCGGAAGTGCCGTGGAACATGTATCGACAGGGACTGTGACCACGAGCACTGCTGAGAGTCACGGACACAGTGGGCAGGTGCGAACACCGTTTGGAAGGGAGGAGTGAAGCGTCACATGCGCAGATGGTCAAGGCACGTGGACAGTGGCCGTCTCTGCAAATCTCTCAGGTGACCGAAAGGCCTCCGTAGCCCTCCTGCAGGTCGAAAGAGGTTACGAGACAGGCCGGCCAGTTTCCTCACGCTCCTGTGGATGCTCCTCTGTCCGTTCCCACTGGTTTTGTTCTGCAGATCACGTTCGGTGCAGTTATTTGGGATCGTAGCGCAAAGAGGCAGGCCCTTGAACAGACATGGGGTGGCAAATGCAGGGGAGAAAGACGGGCACATCCTCTCGCAGCCAGCTGTTGTCGTAACAGAGTTGGAGAGAGCCCGGGAGCTGCGGCGAGACAAGTCACGATATTTCCCTTGCAATGAAAACTGGTGTTTTTTTTTTTTTTTTTTTTTTTTTTTTTTTTGCGATGCTGGCGATGGAGAGGCAGAGGACACGGATAAAGACTGGACGTGTGGCACGGTGCCCCCGGCTTTGGCTCAGGCTCCATACCCGCCAGTGGCGGACGCAGGGGAAGCCCTGAACCTCCTGGTTCTGCCCTGACCCGAAACATCAGACAGATGGCCGATGGGGCCGCCTCCGAAGCTCTCCGTGGACACTCACGCTGCGGTTAACCTTGGTGTCGTTGCTGTGTTCATTCAACACCAGCACCGCCTCCCTCCGAGGGAACCCTGCTTGTGGGCCTGACGCAAATGCAGCCGAACTGCATGCACGTCCCGGAGCCGCCACTCCTGCTGCGTCTTGTTCCCCCAGGAAGTGCACGCGTGGGTTCACCAGTGCACCTGCTCCCGTGGGCAGTGGGGCGGCGCCGTCCCTAACAGCCCCAAGCTGGTTAAGCCCCAATGCTCATGAACAACTGCTTGGTAAATTTTATGTTTGTACAATGGCAAAGAACCAGGCTTCAGTTGTGCGCAACCACCCACAGGAATCTCCAGAACAGCGTCACACGCAGGAAGCCAGACGCGCGGCGTGAGCACTGGCATGTCCTCCCATATAAAGTACAAAGCGGGCAAAGCCGGGAGCCGGTGTGGCAGTTCCTGGCAGAGTCAACCGCACAGGTGCCGTCTGGTCCCGCTGTCCTGCCGCGGTAGCAGCCCCAGCGGGATGCGCGCAGGTCCTGGAAGAGCATCCGCACGCGCCCCTGCATGGCAGCACCGTTCACCACAGCCGGAGGCGGAGACCACCCCGCGGCCCGTCCACAGGGGAGAAGAGAAGCGAAACGCGGCCCGTCCCTATGATGCAGCGTGATGTAGCCTTAGAATGACAGGCCACGACATGGTGAAGCTGGACGACACTCTTTTTTTTTTTTTTAAGATTTTATTTATTCATTCACGAGAGACCCAGAGAGAGAGGCAGACACACAGGCAGAGGGAGAAGCAGGCTCCCTGCAGGGAGCCCGATGCAGGACTCGATCCTGCGACCCTGGGGTCACGGCCTGGGCTGAAGGCAGGTGCTCAACCACTGAGCCACCCAGGGATCCCCTGGAGGACGTTCTTGTACGTGAAGCTGCCCAAACACGAAAGGACAAATGCCGTGTGTTTCCAGGCTCCCAAGGTCACAGAGCAAGGTCACCTTCCAGGCACGGCCCTCGGGAGAGCCTGAGGCTCCTGAGCTCAGCACCGTGCAACCCAGCACCCCTGCTCGGCGCCTGTGCTCTGGGTACTGGGCCTCCCCTTGCCCACGTGCCCACCAGTGTGCGCCAGCAGGGGTGCCCAGGGCCCTGTGGCTGTGGGAGCCGGGGAGGCCCAGGGCAGGACCCCAGCCTGTCCCTTACAGCACGCCCTGAGTCCCCCGGACTCCAGCTCCTTCCTCAACGGAGCCCCCTGTTCGGGGGCAGCCTCCCCCCTGGGGCCCTTTCCGGGCCGGGAAGGAAGGGACGGGGAGCTCAGCCCTGGCCGCTGCCCGGCCTGCCCCAGGGCCTGGGCTGCTTCTGGGGGCCCCGCCACGGCTGGCCGGCCGCTTTCCTCACCTTCCCGAGTGTCCTCTGCCTTCTCAGACCTCAGCTGCGTCCCCTCAGGGCCCCTGCCCCTCGTCAGCGGGCATGTCGCACAGCGATGCAGCGTCTCCAGGGCCCCTGCTGACTTTGCTGGGAAGGGAAGTCCACCTGCAGACAGCAGGTGGTCACACTGGCACCTTCCTGTGCCCCGCAGCCTGCGGCCTCTGGTCTCATGTGTCCACCGGCTTCTTCTCCCACGGAGGGTGCGGCCAGGGCCGTGGGGGCCACAGCGAATCCGAGGCCTCCTGCTCTGGGTCCCAGAGATGCCACGCTGGGCGCTGGGCAGGGCTCCTGGCCGCGCTCACGCCCTCTCCTCTGCCGCCCTCTCCTGGCCCAGCGAGGCGAGGCCCCGGGGGCGCGGGCTGGAGGGACGCATCTGCTGGCTTCTCTGTGCCACCAGGCCCGTGTGGCAGGGACAGAGCAGCAAACTGTAAAACACAACACGACTTCGACTTCCGCGTCTGAGCTAGGGAAGCCGAGGCTGTGGAGGGAGCAGGGCACCTGTGCAGGGCTGACGGAAGGTTCTGGAGCTTCCGGGACAGGCGGGGCCAGGAGAGACAATGAGGAGGGTGTTGCCACCAGACTCAGTGCACCGCCGTGGAGGAGCCCAGCCCACAGGCCCGCGGCCAAGGGTCAGGACTGCTCTGGGCGTCACTGCGCCGGACCTGACCGGTTACAGCCCTGGGAGCCGCCCCCTTGACGGCCTCCAGGACATGCACCACCAGGTTCCAGGCCCGGTGACCGGGGCAGGTGGCGTGAGAGGCATGAGTCTGCCGCGGTCATCCAGCAGCACCTGCCGAGCACACGCACCCCAGCCCCGCCCAGGCCGTGATGCTGTGACCGGGACGCCCACGCTGGCCTGGATCACGTGGGGGCAGCGCAGGCATCTGCGTGGACGGCATCCAGTTCTCGCTGCAGCAGCGGGACCCACGGGCCAACGAGGTCCCTTCCTTAGCAACCAGGAAAGTGCCCCAAGAGAAGGGCTCTGTACGGAGACGCCGGGCCGGGCCTGCACAGGACGTCCCCTCCACGGTGGCCGGGAGACCACCACGCTCCTGGGGCAGGTCCCCACCCAGCTCCGCGGGCAGCGGCGGGGGCCTCCCCTCCCTGGGTCGACCACAGTGGTGGCCTGTGGGGCAGCAGGTGTCCCCTGGGCCGTAGGGATGTGCATCGTGTGAGCGGGCCTGGGAAGAGCGCGGACGCCAGCGAGGACCGGGCTGACCGTCTGCCTTCCTCTGCGTCTCACACGGTCGGAAGGGCGGTGTTGACGCGCGGAGGGGAGTTCGGACCGTATGCGGCCCACCTGCGATGGGCCCCGCGAGGGCGGCTGGGGCGCGGGGAGGGGCGGGCGGGCACCTGGGTGACACCTGCAGCCGGGGACGCCGTCACAGGAGGTGCTCAGGAGCCGGGGGCGGGGACAGGCCTGAGAAGGGCCGGTCTGAGCAGCAGGGGGGACGGCCACCGGGTCAGCACCGACCGCGGCTGGAGACCCTCACCTTCGTGATGTTGGCAACAGGCAGAAACAAAAGCAAACCCAGGGGATAAACCCGTGGCTTATTTTTCTTTCTTTTTTTTAAATGATTTTATTTATTTGAGAGAAAGAGAGAGAGAGAGAGAGAGAGAGAGCAAGGGTAGGGACGGGGGTGGGTGAGAGGCAGAAGCCCTGCGGAGAGGGAGCCTGACGCAGGACTCGATCCCAGGACCCCCGAGATCACGACCTGAGCAGAAGGCAGGCGCTTTGCCGACAGAGCCCCCCAGGCCCTCACACCATGTTTTTTTTTTTTTTTTTTTTATGTTTCTCAGTGGGTTGAGCATGTGACTTGATTTCGGCTCAGGTCATGATCTCAGGGTCATGAGGTCAAGTCCCCACGTTGGGTTCCATGTGGGCTCCGCACCAAGCATGGAGCTTGCTGGAGACTCTCCCCCTACCGCTCCCCCCCCCCCTGCATCTAGCTCTCTCTCTCTAAAATAAATAAATAAATAAATATAATAAAATGTTTCCTTTTTTTTAGGCAAGAATGAGGCATTTCTGCTCCTTTCCGGTGTGGACTGTGGGGTGTCCTGCACGGCTCAGTCCTGTGGGTTGGTCAGCGCAGTGGGGAAGGGCTGTGAGTGACCAGGACCCCGCCAGCATGCGGCCCCGTGGGTGAGCTTGTGAACAAACCCGCGTACGTGTGCCCGAGGGGGCACCAGGAGGAGCGGGGGGAAAGCCGCCTTGTTTCTCGCTGACCTGGCGTTGGGGCCGTGGGAAGGGCTTCCATGGGCCACGGGCGCCCGCAGGGACGCAGGAGGGCCGGGGTGCCCCAGCAGACGCACTTCGGACGCGACTCAGCCCTCGCCACCCGGTCCCTTTGCAGCCCGTTCACACGGAGCCTGGACCAAGCCCGGGACAGCGGGCCCCGTGCCTCAGTCTCCCCATCCACCAGGAGCTACCTGGCCACAGGTGAACGGGGGCGGGGCCAGAGGTCGGGCTGCAGGGCCGCCCCGCAAAGACCGGGGAGTTTCCCAGGAAGGGTTTAGGCTCGTTCAATGTTTCCGCCCCAGCTCTGGGTGACACTCCCGATGAAACCACGGTGACCCCCGATGACCTACTGTTTCCTGAGCACGCAAGCGAATGGACTCTGAGTCATGCAGGGGTCACCATGCCCTTGTAAGTGGCCTTGATGTGAGGGTGCTGAGGCCAAGCCCGGCCCCTCCCCCAGGGCGTCCCTCGGTCAGGGCCCTAGTGGCTCCAAAGTGCTCCCACCTGGGGAAGTGCCCTGCGCAGGGGGGTGGGGGGGCTGCCCACCCTGCAGGGGGGTGGCCTTCCTCCTCCCTCCTCCCTCCCGTTGCTCGCTCGGGCTGGGGGCCGCGGGGGGCCACAGAGGAGGGGTTGGCCGGCGTCCCCTCCAGGCCGGGCGGTCAGTCACACCAGCCCTGCTGTTCACCTGGAATTCTCTGCGGGGTTTCGTGAAAGGCCTCCAGCCATCGTGCGGGGACCCTGCGGGGGACCGTGGCCAGCCCCACCCTCTCCGCAGGGCAGGTGCCGGGCCGCGCTCCCACCCTCTGCGGACGAGCCCACCGGCCAGGCCTCGTCGTGGTGCGGGAAAGCTCCGGGGTTGGTTGCGACTCGGCCTCTGCGCCCGGAGGAGCCCAGGCCCCTGAGGTACGACGGAGCCCGTGTGTAATGTTACGTGAAGTAGGAAATATTAATCTCAGCAAAATGTTCTATTTAATCCAAAGAGCTGCAAGGTCCCACGCCCACGCGGCATCTGACGAGACCCTCTCCCCTTCTGCGTCTTCAGACTCCCGCGCGTGGCACCGCGCAGCCCACTGAGGTTTTACCAGGAATCGTTCACTGGACTTAAACCCCATAAAGTTCACAGTCCAAAGAGGACGTTCACGCACCTAACTTAGTCCAAACATCCTTAAAAGTCTTCAGTAACCGAACAGAGTGTCATTAAGATTTTAAAGTCTAACTTGATTAGACTTAAAATTTAAAATTTTAAATCTGCTGGATGGGGCCGGGGTTTCCAGGGCCATGTTGCCAAGCCCCGCCTGCGGGCAGCCCACCTGGGTCAACGGCAAGAGGTGACCCTGTTGGCGGCCGAGGGACAAGCAAGGACCCCACGCTACGAGGGCGCGCGAGCGTGACGTCCAGCCCTAGGCTCGCGCTGCTTTGTCACAGCGGCAACAGGAAGCTGGCTCGAGGGCGTGGGAAGGAGCGTGGGAGGTCCCGGGAGCGTGGACGGCCGGAGCGGGGAGGAGAGTCCGTGACCGTGTGTACGTGTGGACGGCGGCCCCGGGGCGGCCCCCCAGGGTGTGTGCGCCCCAACCCCCGGGACATGGCCTGGCCGCGGCGCTCTGGGCCCCTCTACAGCCGGGCGGGCGGAGGCGGGTGCCGGCCCTCGGGCGGGGCTGGTCGCGGAGCCGCGGGGGCACCGACACGTCACCACGGGGCGGACTTGGGAGCGCACCTCAGTCGGCAGCTTTGTCTCTCGGGATCCAACTTGGCCTCGAAGCTCCTCGCTCGGGGCTGTCTGGTGGGGTCAGGTGGGATCAGGTGGGCTCAAATGGACTCAGGGGGGTCAGGGGGTCAGGTGGGGTCAGGGGGGCCAGGTCGGTTGGGTAGGGTCAGGTGGGGTCAGGTGGGGTTGGGTGGGTTCAGGGGGGTCAGGTGGGCTCAAGGGGGTCAGGTGGTGGGTGGGGTCAGGTGGGGTCAGGGTGGAGTCGGGTGGGATCAGGTGGGGTCAGGTAGGTTGGGTAGGGTCAGGTGGGGCCAGGGAGGTCAGGGGGGTCAGATGGAATCAGGTGGGGTCAGGTGGAGTCAGGTGGGGTCAGGTGGAGTCAGGTGGGCTCAGGGGCTTGGTTGGGCTCAGCAGGGTCAGGTGGGGGTGGAGTCAGGTGGGGTCAGGTGGGGTCAGGGGGTCTTGGGTGGGGTTGGGCGGGGTCCGGCGGGGTCCAGCGGGGTCTGGAGGTCGGGGTGTCTGCAGCCGGGCTCCTCAGGAGCAGGTGCCGTCAGAGCCGAGAGTGCAGATGCCTCAGTGGCTCCTCTGGCACGGCGGGGCAGCACCATGTGTGGCTGTGACACCCACGCAGGCGCGACCCCCCCAACCAGCGACCCGGGAGCACGTCCCCTCCTTCATCAGAGAGCAGGAAGAGGGGACGCCCACGTCCAGCTCCGGTTCCCGCAGAGGCGGGTGGCGACCCTTCGCGGGCTGGTGCTGTCCGTTGTGCGCGCCCGTCCCGGAGCCCCTGGCCTGGCCCACGGCGCCCACTGTCCCACGTATTTACCCCCCCACCCCCCGCTTCACCTGTGGCCGGCGTGCACCTGAGTAGCAGGTGCTTTGACGGGGAAGTTTGCCGAGGGGGGCAGGGCAGGGGCAGGGCCCCGGTGTGAGTTTTAGACGTTTTGGGGGGTCCTGGGCTTTCCCGAGCTCTCTGGAAGGAGTCCACGTGTCTGCACCCACGGCCGAGAGTCTGCGCATCCCGTGGAGGCCGCCGGAGGCTCAGGGGACCGGCCGCAGCAGAGCCCACCCGGGGCCGGCGGCCGCGTCGCAGGCGGAGATCCGCCTGGAAACTTGTGGCTCCCCAGGCCGAGGCGGGACCGCCCCTGCTTCCGCCCCTGCTTCCGCCGGTACATTTCCAGGGCTGAAATGTGCCTGTGGGGGGCAGGAAGGACGGGGCGCTCGCAGCTCTGCCGCCAGAAGTGCCGGCGCCCGCGCGGGATCCGGGCCGTGACTCAGCACAGGAGGGGGGCGGGGGGCCACCGTCCCACATGGACCCAGAGCCTCGTGGGGGGTGCTGGGCGCACGGGCCGCCCCCTGCCTTCGGACCAAGTGCGTCTCTGGCCACCCGTGAGTGGCAGTGACCAGGTCCAGAATGTTCCAGGGAGGAGGCCCCAGAGCCAAGGACTCAGGACCCTGGCCGAGGGTGGCAGAGAGGGCAGCGGGACGTGACTCCTTCCCAGTTCCCCTCTGGGGTAAGGTCCAGGGCCAGTGTCAGGTGAGGCAGGCTCCTCTCCGCCCGACAGTTTCGGTTTTGCGACTCACTGTGCCGTGGGCGGTGGCCGCGGGGCTGGGCCCTGCCCACTTCCCCAGGTGAACCCTGAGCCAGACGGAAGCAGAAGTCCACTGCGCTCAGTGAGGTCGCCCTTGTCTGCCTTCAGGGGCTCGGCAAGAGGTGACTTCCTGCCTGGGCTGCGGGCCCCGTGTGCAGAGGGACAGGAAGTGGGGTGGGGTGCAGGTGGGAGACGCCGGGACTCCGCGTGTGCCTCACCGGCTCCCCTTCCCCTGGCCTGGCACCCACGGGGGCTGCCGGGGACGAAGCTGGGCCCTGGCCCCTGTTCCCTCGGCCCGTGCTGGCCACCCCCCCCCAGACAGGGGCTCAGCCCCAGAAGCGCCCCTAAGCGAGCCTCCTCTGAAACCTCCGGGCAATTCTGCATTTGGATATTTCCTTTTTTGCATTTGGCTATTTTTAAGGGAAGTTCTTTATTATCGGAATATGTCACTATCACAAAAGGGAAATGCCCTCCCCAACCACACTGCTTCCGGCTCCATCAAAAAAGAGCAGATGATGCCAGTGTGGTGCGCGGAGGGCCCAGCAAGGCCGCCCCTCCAGATAGGAGCGCCCGTCCTCCCGCCAGCGCCCGGGCACATGCCCTGGAACCAGGCATGCAGAGGCCGCAGCCTTGACTTCCTTCTCAGAAATGAGGTCAAAGAACATTTAATGCAAATCCCCGTCTTATGAGCTGTTTTCCCATTTCCCGGTCGCTGCCTGCGATACGGAGCGGAAGCACCGCCAGCGCGCCCCCGGCCGCGGATGGAGCGGAGCCAGGCCGTTCTCCGGGGCTGGCGAGGGCAGCGGGCCAGCCACCGAGGGGCAGTGCCTGGGCCAGCGAGCATTTCCCGCCCCGCCGCGCACAATGGAGTGCCACTGTCCTCACTCTACGCTTTGGAGCTTAATGTTGCCCTAAACTGACACTGAACAAAACACAACAATGAAAAGCCAGTCCCGGGCGGGCCGCCCTCCTGCCCACCCCGCCGCGGTGCCCAGGACGGCAGCTGCTGGAATGCGTTTCCTTGTGGGCCTGGTCCCGCCAAGGGTGTGGTCGGCACAGGAAAGCAGGGCCGAGGGGCGGAAGGGGGAGGCCGGCCACCCTGCTGTGGCCAAGGGCGGGATCGTGAAGTGGGGTGTCCAGAGGCCAGAAAGACCGTGTCCCAGCCCCCCTTCCTTCCCAGTCTCCTCCCCGCCAGCCCCGCACGCGGGGCCCCAGCCCTGATCTGGGATAAATGCCACCTGACTGTCACAGGTAACATCCCACTTTTCACCTCCGGGCCCGACTCCCCCGCCCCAGCCCAGAGCTGTGTGTCCAACTTCTGACCTTCCACCGTCGCCACCACCACCTTGATCATCACAGTTTCCCTATACAGCCAGGGAGCGTCTCCCTCCGAGGGGGGCCCAGGACCCAGAGCCCCCACCCCCGGAGACCTGAACAGAAGGAAGTGAACATCTCCCAGCCCGTGTAGAGATATAATTAATGAGGTTTATAAGGAAAATATTTATTAACACTCTTGGGGGTTTTCCATTTCCCTGATCTGAGGCAACCAGCTATGAGTCACTCAGCACTGGAGGTTGAGTTAAGCAGGCCGGGCGGCCCCAGCCTCACTCAGCCAAGCGTGTAGCCTGCCGTCCGAACCCCGCCCCGCGCAACTGCCCCACGTGGGCTCCCAAGCCTGAAGAGCCCACGGCGTGGACACGCCACGCTCGTCCGTCCCTCTGTGGGTGGACACTTGGGCTGTCCCACCTGTTGGCGGTGGGGACCGGTGCTGCGGTGAACGTGGGCGTGCAAACGGCTCTCTGCGTCCCTGCTTTCGGTCCTTTGGGGGGGTTTACCCACAGTTGGACTTGCCAGGTCATATGGTAACTCTGTTTCTAGTTTTCTGGAACTGCCATACTGTTTTCTAGAGCAGCTTGTGCGTTTTTCATAAGCTCCTGGAGGTCAGAGGAGGGGTAGGTGTGCTCCTGAGAAATGCTGACACATGGCTGGAAACAGAGTTCTGAGCAAAGACACCCCCCAGGCCGCTCTGGCTGCGGTGGGAACCAGGCTGCACGTCACCTGGCCACCTGCTAACGTGGAGAGAACACCCCGCGAGAGCCACCGGC